TTTCCATAGAGTTTCAAATCATCCATATATAGTAAATGCGAAAATTTTTCAGCTTCTTTGGCTGTTTGGTAGCCTAATTTCATTTTTTTTAAGATGATTTTTTTTTTTCATTTTTTAAGCCTGGCAGAGTTTCGCTATTTTCCAGATGTCCCCGCCACAACATCAACCGGAAGTCTTGCATCCTATTATTAATCAGATCTGACTCTTCTTAGTTTTTTAAAGCTCTACCAAAGTTAATTCAGTACTGCCCCATGTTAATATTATTGCTGTTGGATAGCAGAGACCTTTTCAGTAAAGAATCAACAAAATGAAATAATCTTTTTTTTAAATTTACTTTTCTAATAATTTTGTAAGTCATTTTCTTCCCAGTCTTCAGGTTCTCATTGCCACCTCCCAGCCTCTGCCAGTCATGAGTAAGAGAATGGTAGTATACACAATCTTGTATGGTAGTTGTAAATTATGGGATGGTTCAGTCCCAGCTGCTGGGTAGTAATTTGGGGTTGTTGATTTTGGACCTTGGCACTAAAAGTCATTGTTGCTATTGAGAATAGTAGAATGCACTGTCTCTCACCACTATTTGTTGTATATAATATTTATAAAAACTTTTAAATAAGAAGATAAAACTAAAATAAATTAATGTATAATAAGGAAAAAAGAAAGACATTAAAGAAGCAAAAAGTGCAAAGAAAAAATTTGAAAAATAGAAAAGAAAGAAAATAATATAACGAAGTTTCTTCTGATATCCTTCACAGCATTTATAAGTACAAATATATTATAACCTCTCTAAGTTACATCACATTATTATTCTTTCTATAATATATTCTGGTCTAATCTTCAAAACCATAAATCACAGATTTTTATTTTTATGGGGGGAAAGTCCGTAAGTAGCTTCCAATCAACAATAAATGTAGCTTTTTTTCTCTAAACAAATAATCTATCTGTCTCTCAACACCATTCATACTGATGATAACAAACAAATATACAATTCTAGATAGTAAAAGCTGCACATTAAAAATGAATGCTTTTTTTATCAAAGAGCAAATAATCTCAAAATATTTTTTTTTTGCTTTCTTGACAAAAATTGTTAATGTTCCTTTATTTCTGTTTTCTGCCAGGCTAGGAGCCTGTAAATTTCATCTATAGCAACAGGCAAAATAGGCATTTTCTGCCTCTATGTTTTCACAGTTGCGGGTAGCAACCATTATACTTTATCCCTGAAAGATAGGGGTACTTTAACATCAGTAATACCTCTCACTAACAGTTGCATATAGCTGACAGCCTCTATCTTGAGCATGGCCAACTGTAGACCTCAAGGCTAGAAAAAAAATTGTTAGCTTTTTGGAACTTTGCGTTTTTCCCATGCTATATTTTTTGAAACTTTTTGCTAAAGGAACTGAAAACTTACAAACTTTCAGAACATTTTGATTGGTCCCCATAATGGTATTGTCCAAATGTGTTTTTCTGTTTTTTGAAAGCAACAATCACATACAAGCATAGGTAGGATTCCACTAGTTCAGGCTGGTACAGGTGAGCCTGTTGTTAAATTGCTCGCTGGCCCCGCCCCTTCAAGTGCCCACGTGCCGGGTTTTGGCTCCCAGGTAAGTTCAGGGAAGCCTACTAGGCCCAAAATGGGGTGTGTGGGCATCCCACCTGTGGCCCATTTTTGCTCCTAGGCAGTTGCAGGAGGCTGAGTGCTGCCTGTCACACCCTGGGCCACTCCCACCATGGCCACGCCCACCCAGCCGGTCATAAGGGCAGACAACCGATCTTTAAATTTTTTTTGCATCCCACCACTGCATACAGGATATGAGCATGTAAACTCACCATCTGGGTGAAAACCCATAAAATGAATTGATTTACTAGCCAGGCTAAGCATCCCGTATGTATTAATGTAACAATGTAACTCAGCTAGCTATGTTATTCCCTCGTATAAATAGGGAAATAAAAGGAGAAGAAAGCTTTTTGCAAAATGAATTAGGGGATGGGACAGGATTTATTTTTATTTTTTTGCTTTTGTTTTCCCAACTAAAATCTAATATAGAAAGAGGACTAATATAAGTTTGAATTAAAGCACTGAGTAATGCCGATGCAACCATAACTCAGGACATCCCAGGATTATCTTTGGCTTATCCTTAGTTTCCTTCCCTAACATTCTGGGTAGGGAATTCTAGGAGTTGAAGACGGTTCACCGACAAAACCGCACCCAACTAAACCGCATCGCTGACGTCATCAACAGGGCAACAACAGCGCGGAGACAGAAGCACGCTATAAACANCTATGAAGCGGTATATAAGTCTAACTGCTAACTGCTATTGCTATCAAATTATACATCAAACTCATATCTCAGTTTAAAATTAGATTAGTCAGGCAAAAAGGCTGAGTGAAGAATGTCCTTCAGCACATTTTTCTGGACATCCGATAATAAGAATTTATCCAAACAACTTTACTGAGAACTTTTAACATTTATTATTGTGATTATTTTACTTTACAATGCTCAGTTTTTTTAAAATAATTTAATATCTACTCATTAAATAATAAACCCCAGTGACAGCTTATCCCTAGTGAGTATTATACTGAAGCCTTAAAGTATGACTGCAAATATACTTAATATAATCACATTTAGGTATTGTTTTTAAAAAATGTTATATGTTTTAATGCTTTACTACTCAAGTTATTTATATTATAATAAAAGGAAAAGAGAGAAAATGAAAGTAGAAATTAGAATATTAGAAATTATCTAATAAAAATATAAAAGTACTCTGTGACACAATAATAGTCATATTAAGGCACTGGACATATGATTTATATGTTACTAATGCTGCCAAAGATAAGAATTAACCTTTTTATGCTTCCCAAACCTATATATGGTGGTTTAAAAAAAGATTTTAAAAATAGTGAGAAAATAAAGAAGGGTTACAAATTGTATAGTGGCAAATTCAATAGATCAAGCTGTTGCTGTCCCGTCAAAAAATTACTTAGAAATACCCATAAGCATTTGTTTTAGATTGATTGATATCTCATTTATCACCCTTTCATATACAGCTGCTCAAAATGGGAATTTCTACTGGTTGACTTTAAGAAGAAGCTCCCTGATTTTAAACAGGAAGGCAAATAATTGGAAGGCAAAACCACACCCTAATCTTTAAATTATGGCAAATGCCTCTGGTATTTTTTCAAAGCAACATGAAAAATCCAATAAGGAGCCAAAATCTAAAGTTCTGCCTTTCCCCATCTCTCATAATCACCCAATGGAATTAGTGCATGAACATCAGAGCACAACCACACTGTACCAGCTCTAGAGCTCCGGCAGATCCGCTGGAGTTGGAAGGAGGAGGAGACACAAGATAAAGAGAGAAAAGAGAAGAAAGACAGCAGAAAAGTTAAAGGCAGCTATAACTAGTAGAGGACAAAAATATCACTATTAATCAGAAATATGCTCATCAGCATTAGCAACCATAGATGGAACATAAAGAGGTCTAACTCTAAATGTTGGTTTCTTTTCTAGCAAAGCAAATGTTACTTCACCACTAGCATAGGTATAAACTAGAATGAAATGGCCACATGTGCCTAAATTCTAAGGATCACATTATTATTTTTGCTGTTATCAATGCAACTGGCAAAGCACCAGAGAAAGCATAGAGGGGAGGCATTCCTAGTTGTTGCCTCCATGAAACTTTCTAGAGTTCAATGTTTCGGAAGTTCTCAGAGTATCTCTTTTTTTACATATTTGTCTCAGATTAATCCATAACTGGCTGGGAAATTCTGAGAATTGCAATCCTTACATCTTAAAGTGTTGCAAAGCTTAAGAAACACTGGATTAATAGAATCTCTATGCAGTAAAGATTGCCACATTCATATATCCATGGGGAATTGTTGGACTTGAATACTTGATTCAAAAGTAGACAAATATTGGAATAACTATGGGAAATCTTGTTCTGGGGGATTTTCATGTCCAGGAGATCTCATTCAGACAAACTTTCAGTTTGCTTACCTGAAGCATCTCCTGATGCTGCTGTTCTTCCAATGTTGGGTAGAAGGTACTCAATATTTGGCATTGACTGGGCCTCTTGTTCATCTATAGGAGTCTGTGAAATGGATACATATGTACTTAGAAGAAAAAAAGGTTTAAACTATACGTTGATTTAAAATGGAAAAGAGGGCCAAATTCTGTATTCTTCATCCTGTGACTATTGAGTGAATTATAGGTTTAAACTCAGTGGTGGGATTCAAATAATTTAACAACCGGTTCTCTGCCCTAATGACCAGCTGCGTAGGCGTGGCTTGGTGGTCATGTGACTGTGTGGGCATGGCCAGCTCAACATCACTCAGGTCGATGGGCTCTTCACCTTAGCTGTTACAATGCAATAAGGGTTAATCAGAGAGGCAGTTTCTGCAAGCAGGGCAATGAAGATCAGGCTAAAAACACCAGGATGTTTCCTTCCTGCCTTCCTTACAGAATTAGCCCTGTAAAGTGGGAAAAAACAAAATAAGATTTCTTCCAACAATCGGTTCTCCAAAAGTTAACAACCAGTTCTCCCAAATAAGTGTGAACTGGCTGAATCCTACCACTGTTTAAACTACTTCCATTACGAAGGGGTTTGTTTAGACAATTTCTTTATTATTTTGCTTGGTTTGGCATGAGGACCATGATAGCACTTACATGCTCTTTTATACTCTGTAAACCATTTCTTTTGTCCATAAACTTTTCTTTTTTGCACCCTGTCAATTATGGCCACTTGCTGCCAGCATTAACGTGAACAAATATTGATACATGGAAGCTGCAGTAAAATTGACCAGTGAGACACCATAGGCATGATAGAGGACCATAAGGTGCAACTGAAATAATATCACCTAATGCTCTTGAAACATTTCTAGCATGCTGGTGATCAATTTCTCAAGACTTTTCTGAAACAATTAACAATTTTCCAGAGAAGTGCTGAACTGAGAGGCAATTAGTTGGTGAAAGTGCTGACCTATAAATCAGGAGATGTAGGTTCTAGGCCTCTCTTAGGCATGAAAATAATCTAGGGTGGCTGGGTTACTTTGGGTCAGTTGCTCTCTCTCAGCACTTCCCTGGGCTATTATTGTGGGGCAAATAGGAGACAGGAGGTATATTAGTTGTCTTGAGCTGACCACTGTTGTTTTTTTTAAGGAATGAGATAAAGATGTAATAATTATAAACTCATAAAATAGCCCAATTGGTTCCACCACAAAACCGCGCCCGACTAAACCGCGTCGCTGAGGTCATCAACAGGGCGACAACAGCGCGGAGACAGAAGCACGCTGTAAACCTAAACCTAAAATTAACCCCTAAACCTAAACCTAACCCCCCTAAACCTAATCCTAAACCTAACCCTAACCCTAACCCTTAACCTAACCCTAAACCTAACCCTAACCCTAAACCTAGCCCTTAACCTAACCCTAAACCTATTTAAAGCGCCCTTCTTTCTCCGCGCTGGCTGTTGTCGCCCTGTTGATGACATCAGCGACACGGTTTAGTCAGGCGCGGTTTAGTCGAGCGCGGTTTTGACGGGTCACGGTTGAAGACCACGTAGCTTAAAATTGTTGAGGTAGAGAAACTCTGGCATGGAGTCACATGTGTGCCATGAGGGAAATTAGGATCAAAAATGAAAGAAACATCTTTTCAGAACTGTTAAAGTGATCTGAGATTCATTTTTTTCCTTACTTCTCTTTCTCTTTTTCTTGCAAGCTGCTGTCCCAGTTATGTGTGACCTCCCTGCCTTGGGCAGGTAGACCCCTCTGTTGCCGCCGCCGCCGCCGCCTCTCCTTCTCCATCATGTGCTCACATGAAGGTATGAAGAGCTGCTGCTGCTGCTGCTGCTGCTGTTAGCACCATCGCCGCTGCTGCCACTGTTGCCAAGAAAAAATATGGATGGGAGATCCTGGACATACCGACCAATCAACTAACCAACAACCAACCAACCAACCAATCAACCGTGTTCCTCCCAGGTGCCCTCTTCCTAGTAGCAGCAGTGGCCGATGGTCAATGATGAACTCAAAGGACTCAAGCCAAGGAGGGGCTCCTTCCCCAGTTGCAGAGGGAAATGGCCTTCCACCTCGGCCTCTATTTATTGTTGTTGTTTGTTCCGGGCAGGGACATAAGAATGTGAATGAGAAAATGTGGTTGCCCACGCATCCTATCCCGCTACTGTGCCACCAGGTCTTTCTGGTGGAGCAGGGGGAGGAGAAGCCTCTATTTCCTGTTGCCATGTGCCACATATTGGACCAAGCAGCCCATCTTGGCCAGTTCCCCTTCCCTGCCCTGCCATAGGTGCTAAATGTTCCGCCAGCACTTTTCCTTTCCTTTCCTTTGCATTGCTGCTATGAAGGGGTCCAGTTTCATCTCCTGATGACAAAAAAAAAAAAGATGGTTGTTCAAAGGCCAGTTCTTCTCCTTTCCCTCCCCCCCACCCACCCTTTCCCATCCTTCTTCTCAACAAGGGAAGAGCATGGAAGCCAGGAGGAACAAAGCCAGTGTACCTCCCTCTGCTCACACCCACCCCAAAGAGCAAGTTGCCCCCAGGCCTGATACACAGAGCTTCAAATTTTGGATGCCTGCTTCTTCTGTCCAGAAGCAAGTGCTTCTCGGCACAAGTCAACGATTAAAAAGAATCCCCCCCTTTCTCTTCTTTTCCCCTTGCCTTTGCAGCTCCCTGTTCCTCCAGATGAGAGAACGCCTGAGGAGGAAGGAAGGAGGAGGAAAGAGGACTAGAAGTTGTCACCCAAACTCTCTTGGTGCTGGCATGAAGCAGTCCCAGTAGATAGGTGGTCCATCTGGTGTGATGGAGCATCAGATATTTTTTTTCTTTTCCTTTTTTTTTATGAGAGCAGAGAGTGGGGAATTCAAGTCCGAGATGCTCAAACTGGAAAGAGTAGACCTCAGCCTGTGATGGTCACTGGAGTTAGGACTCTGGACTTTATTGATATGGCACACAGATCTCCCTTCCTCCAAGACTATTGTAATATAAGAGTTGTATTTTCTGTGTATATCTGTGCTGTGGAATCTCGTGTAAATTGAATTTCTTTTTCGACCGCCATTACAGGTTCTCTGTTAATTTAATAATGTGTCCAGCTACCCCTCTGCCCTGCACGCCAATAATTTTTATTTGATGTTTATATATTTCCACCTTTCTTTTTACATTTTTATTTCAGTTGTTCCCTCCAGGGAGAATGTGTGGGTGTGAGGGGGCAAAGCAAAGGGGTAGTTTTGCATGAAAAAAAAAATGGGTAGGGGAGGGGAAAAATACAATCTGGGAAATCAAATCTGTCAGGGAGATTGTGAGGGGTAAGCAGGAAGCTGAGGTACTGGAGGAGCTATCTTCTGGTCCCCTTCGTTCCCGTTTGCTTCCAGGGAAGGCAGAGAGGGAGGGTTACAAGGGGAGTGAGCTAAGAAATGTTTTTTTTTTAAAGGAAAAAAGAAACAAAGTTTGAAAACGTTTTCTAGGATCTGCAGATTTTTCTTTATGAGCGAGGTACAGAATTGACAAAAGGATCTCTGTCTGCTTTCTGTGAGGCAGTTCCTGGCATTCTTTGCTTCCACTGTATTCTAGCCTTTAAGAGCCCACCATTCTTCTAACAGAACCAGGTGTTGGAGCAAGATTACAACGCTCTCTTGCTCAGCCCAGCACTGCTTGTTTTCAGATCCTGCACCCAGAGCCTCGCCTATGGCACTGCAATACTGTAAACTACTTTCAATACAACCAGCATTTAAAGAGTTAAGATAGCAGTGGGAAGCATAAGGCTTATAGATACATATACTGCTTTTATTGTAGATACAGGAAACTAATAATGTGGAGCAGCTACCACAGATCTAGAAATGCCGTACATAATAGTGCCAGAATTTAAATCTTAGGTCTTTTTCTTCCACTTTTATTTGGTAACAAGACTTCTTGCCCCTTATTTCTTAGTCTTTGAAGGGAAGGGCACCAGAGCTACATCTTGCTCTGGTCTTTAGAATCTTGTTTTCCCTTTCCAGCGTTAGCCTTTCCACCTGGCATGCCACCACTCTACTAATAATATGGTGCGTTCTCTGATGTAATCTCAATATTGATACAAAAGGACCGGGAGCACCAAGGATCAAGTTCCTACTTGGCAATGGAGTTCAGTGGGCGACTTGGGGCGACTTGCCATTTTCAACCCAAACAAACGTACAGGAATGTTGTAGCAATAAAAGAGTGTGTGCTGCCCCCCTCTTTCCTGTCACCAACTCTCCACATGGCATATTTCAAGAGCTCCCATCCCCAACCAACCCTTCCACTTTTAATACTCCCATAGTTTTATTTTTTCCATTTCTTCTCCTACCTTCCACCACTAATGTCTCAATGCACTCTGTCGGCGTCCCCTGATTTTCATAGCACCTTCCCTGTCTCGGCTGTGTTTCAGTACTATATCTCCTATTCAGAAGGCCTTGTCCATTAAATCCAAAGTCTATTAAAATTGAAATCCATTGAACAGTGGGTAAGCAAGCAAAGAAGCACCCAGAATGTGGAATTTAGTGTCTTTCCAGACTAAGCAATTCTTAAGCAATTACCTTGAATTTTTCTGAAGCAATCACCTAATAGCAGTAGCAATAGCAGTAGACTTATATACCGCTTCATAGGCCTTTCAGGCCTCTCTAAGCGGTTTACAGAGAGTCAGCATATTGCCCCCAACAATCTGGGTCCTCATTTTACCCACCTCGGAAGGATGGAAGGCTGAGTCAACCCTGAGCCGGTGAGATTTGAACCGCTGACCTGCTGATCTAGCAGTAGCCTGCAGTGCTGCATTTTAACCACTGCGCCACCTTTGAACTTCATGTGTTGTTCAGATGATAATTCCTCTACTTCTAAAATCCCCATGGTTTTATTTTTTTTTCCTTTTTACCAGGATGCGTGGTTCCACAAGGCCATTGGATTTCTTGTGGAGGAGCCATCCATCTAGAAGTGTCCTAGTTAATAATCTCCAAACTAACATAATTGGAACAATAAGAAGAAGTTTAGGTTTTTATTTTTTTCCTCCTGGCATCTGGTTAATACTTTGTGTGCTCATTGAATTCTTTGAAAACAGGATACATAGAAGTCAAAAG